AGAAAACAGGACAGGCAGTTTGAGGAGGAGCACGTGCCCGAGGACACGTGACCGGAACGAGCCCAGAAGGCGGAGCCCGCGAATGCGTCAACGCCCTTAGACTTCCAGAGCTCCTGTGTGTGACCTCAGAGTCCCTGCCGGGAATTTGGAGGCACCGTAGGGGATAGGACGGTCAGAGGTCAGGGTTCTACAGACGGATCGTTTTCATAGCTTTTCGAAATGAGGAAAGAGCGCATCTCAGAACTTGAAAAGCAATGGGTTTGACATCAGTTTTGGCCATCGACTACAAAAAAACTAAATAATAATAATGCAAGCACGTCTCAAGCCAAATGGAATCATTAATAGCCAACTCCGCGTCACCGAATCCGAATGTGGGGGTGTCGTTTTTGAAGGATGACGGCTCATCGTGAAACTTGTTTAAAGCGATAGTTGGACCTCGAGGTGCAAAAGTCGGGCCGCCATTGGAGACGGAGGAAGACGGGCCTGTGCTTGATGACAGGAAGAGGAAGGACAGGGCAACGAAGATGGAGAAGCGGAGGAACGGAGGAGAGCGGCCGCGGCTCCGCGGAGCACTGCTTTAAGGGTGGCGGGCTGACCTGCAGGGAGGCGAAAAAGAACGGGGCTGCGCGAGGGCCTCTGGCAGCAAGACGGGCCCTGCCCTGGGACCCTCTCTGTCCTCCACCCGCACCCCTCCCCAGAGGGGCCCACAGGACCCGAGCAGCTTCCTGGGTTCCTGGAGAGCTGGGACCTCGGACTTCCGCCCCGAGACTCGTAACAGGCTGTGTCTTCCTGAAGGCAGTGGCCGAGGGGTCACTCGGGCGGGGGGTTGGGCTGTGGAGCTGGAATCTGGGGCTGCAGCCTTCCAGGAGGTGGGCTGGGCGGGGACCAGGTCCAGCTGTCCCGTATAGCCATATTCAGGAGCAGACCGCCCAGGGCCTAAGCGGCCTAAATCACCACCCTCCGGAGCCTTGCACAGGGGTATGTGTCAAAGTAAGAGGGTGAAACATTTCGGTTGAACAGTTTTTAGTTTGACTTATAACTTTTAAATGTTCAGACAAATGACATGTTGTTTTACTTTCCCCGGGCCAACGAGGTAGGCGGCGCTTCGAGGGCTAGACCTAGCTATGGGGTCCTGCACGCGGAGTGGGCATTATGGGACGCTTTATCGAGAGGGTGCAAAGAAACCCATCAGTGTGGCGTCAGAGGTGGGATGGAGAAGCGAACGCGGCAAGAGTGAGACCTTTCATCCCAAAAGCCTGACCTTCAAACGATGAGAGCAAACCTCTCAAAACCTCCTCGGAACGCAGCGCCCTGAGGTCCCAGAGACTCGGTCTGTCTCAGGCCCCTCAGACTCCCCAGCAACTGGTCACCTGCCTGACGCTAAACACAGGAGTAAATGCGGCCTCGACAAATAAACGGGAGACCTCCTGAGTACCAGCTTTGAACAGAAAGGTCAGATCTACGAAGAGAGGGAAGGAAATGAACGCGTGGACGCTCCCTACGAATTCTCACGTGTCTTACACATCGTTTCAGGCAAATGCGTATTTATCCCAAAAAGGAGAAGCTTAATAAAGGCCTAAAATGATTCGATACGATTGCTCTCTCCCCAAACTAGAACTTGTATCTAGAAATATCCTTCTAACAGCAGCATTTTGAGCTGGTCCCCTGATCCCCTGAAGCCTGTCACTGGAAGTGACGGAGTCTATAGCGCACTGTTGGGACATTGCAGAAGGGAGTTCTGTACTAAGAGAGAAGCAGGTCTAGAGACAGTAATAGTTCTTTAAAAACTAAGATATTTTCATTCTTTAATACATGACCGTGTATCATAAATGTACCTTTAATCTTTGAAGAAATTAAATGCCAGCAAGTCCATAAAATAGAAGAATTAGGTCTGATTGTCATGGATACAAACGGAATCATCAGATTGCCGTTGGTCGCTATCTGGCTGTCTGAAGGAAAGCATTTTGCCATTTCCACGGGCTGGTCTCAATCAGAGTCAGGTCGGCAGACCTGGCCTCCATGTCCCATTGACAACAGAGCTCTGCTCTTGTTAAAAATCAGTTATTTTCACAAGGCCGGTAGGAAATGGAACTTTTAAAGAACCCTTTCTTGCTCGAATAGCGGTATACTAATATTTTGCATTTAAAAATTAAACCTTGCACTTAAAATATAAAATAATTCATTTCTGAGATCTTCAAAAACTGGCTTGAGGGCAAATAGACTTTCACTCCTAGGCCCTTAAATAACTACCCAGACTTGTCGAGTCATCTGTTTCCCAGTGCCCTCGTGTGTGGTAACCAGAAGGCAGTGACTCTCCCTCCCTTTATTTATTCATTCGGCACGTGTTTGTTGAGTGCTGCCCTTCTACGGGACGCTGTGCTAGTCCCCATGTCCTCGATAAAGCAGCGAGCAGACCACTGTCCTCAGGCAAGTCCCTGTCCTCACAGAGCCTGTTTTCGGGGTAGGAAAAGCAGATACTAACAAAAAAACTAGACACATAGTGGGAATGGTGATACGTGCCATACACATGGGCCTCAAATGCTTTTTAAGTCGATTTATTGACTTGTCATCGATGAGAGCTTTATGCACATACTAGCACATTCGCATCGAATGTATTCACTTTTTTAGAAGAGCAGGATGATGAAAGACCAGCCCCACCACCCAAGGAAGCCTGTGCTCCTTGTCCCTTCTCGTTCAATTTGTCATAGTCACACCATGGCGAACGCTTTCCACCTCAAATTCGTTTGGTGTTTGTTGTTGTTGTCCATAGATTTTTAATGCCTCTACAGGAGTATATTTTCTCCCCCAAAGACAAGAAGTACGCTCAGGTTAATCAGACTAATGTTATTGGTTTGAGGGTTAAAATATGTAGTATGTGAAATTCGGAACCTGTGGCATTTTCATACGCAAAATCTAACTCACGGCCATTTTTTTAAACCACGGTCACAGGGCAAAAAGCAGCTTGCAGACGCTGTCATCTTACTGAAACTAAACCTTTGCCTGAGACGCACGGGGCCCTGACCGACTGGCCAGGGGCTTCCGATCTCGCGTGCCTGCCGCCCTGCGCTGGCACCTCACCCTCATGTCACCGTCCCCTCAGACACTTGGTGCCAGACCGCGGGGCCCTCGCCTGTCGGGGGTGCACCCCCGGAATCCTCTCTGCCTCGTTCTTTCCTCATGAGTTTCACAAAACTAAAATACGACTCCGTGCTCCCGGGCGATCTAACACGCGAGAACGGGCGTGGGGCTAAATCTCCACAGTGGTTTTTGGTTGACTTGCAGCCAAGCAAATGGTCCACAGTATCATTTTCCTAACTGTTGAGATAATCAGCAGAATAGCAACTCTGAAATGAACTTCTCAGAAAGATCCTGCAGACCGCAGGTTTCGGTGGCCTCCAGTTGGAGAAACACAGCTCACGTGCCTCTTGCGATGCTGGGGACCCGGCTCTCCTCCCTTACGATGCTGGACGTATCCCTTGCAATTCACGGACTACGTTGTTCACCGAAACGTTTCCCTTGGGAATTCCATTCATTTTCGTGGACTCACGTCAGGCAGCGACGTCACCTGTTTACATATTTCTAAATCTTTCGTGCTACCTTACTGAATATTTTATGAACTTCTTTCTCAGCGTATAAATAGTATAATAGCGAGGACTATATCAAATAAAATTTCAAGAGCCAAAACTGTTTCAGCATTTTACATGGCCCCAGAACTTCAGAATTGGAACTAACCCTGTCAAATTTATCTCTAGAGTGTCCTGCATAGTCACTTAGCCTATGTCCGAAAACCTCCAGTTCCTAGCTTATAAGGCAATGTGTTCCATTTTTAAGTTAGAAATTTCTTTATGCTGGACCAAAATCTACCACTGTAATTTTTGCCTGTTGCTTTGAATAGCACCTTCTAGAATAAAGAACAAATCTAATCTCTTCTGCAAAGGATGATTCCCTCGCCCCGTGAAGACCTCCCGCCCCAGCCTGCCCTCCCCAGACAAACGCCCTCAGGACGTCTTACATCCCAACGCTGAGTGACTGAGTGACGGGAGAAGCCACACAGAGATGGCTCTGGTAGTTTGGGTCCAACCCAGTTTCTTAGGAGATACTTCAGTAGATTATGTGATGCATAGATCTTATCTCAAAGAAACAGGTTTTCATATTCATTTTGTTTCCAGAGTTAACATTATAAATGACTACCCACTAATACTGTGCAATATTCTATTTTAAATGATAACTGGACATGTACTGGAGTGTGTGTATGTGTCTGTGTGTGTGTGAACATATACTATATATATATAGGGGCGGTTATTTACTCGTATAACATATATATATGGGGGCGGTTATTTACTCATTTCTTTTTATACTGAAGAGAAAACAGGCAAAAGCTTGAATAGACTCCCATCAACTGAGCAGACAGAAGGTGACGGGCGCCAGGCCTGTCATGGCTGTCTTCCCAGGTCCTTTCCATGAGACGCCCTTTCCCACCTGAAATGCAGGATCTTTATGGTCTTGACAAAGCCTCCTGGAAGAACTAGGCAAGGTCCAAACTTCAGCCAAATCCTGTGAAGACGAGTCATCGGCTGCCTTGTCCCCACGTGCAGGACCCTGGCCTGGAGGGGGAGAAAACAGCCTGTGACAAATAAGTGAAATGAAGCTACACTCGCTCACGTGCCATCTGGCCTCGCAAAATCCTGGCTGTTTCTTAGGGCAAAGTAACATGGTGGGCAGAACTGACCCGGTGTCCTAGGGCTCCCCAAAGGCCAGGTCACTCCAGAAGGGGAGAAGAGGCCTGGCCCCCACCCCTCATTCCCCTCGTCCCCAGGATGGGGCCAGGCAGCAGCCAGGGCGCCCCGGGGCACGTGGCCTCCTGTGCTTCATTGAGGGCATTTTTCAGGAAGGCGTTTGCGGCCTCCCAAACGGCGACACTGGGTGTGGGGTCATAACTGTGCGTCAGGACGCGTCGCCGCAGAGAAGGAGAGTAACGCGTGTCATTGTCTCCCCCGCAGCCGGCTGCCCCGACTCCCTGGTTAAGGAGCTCCATCACTTCAGGATTCTCGGAGAAGAGCAGGTGAGTCCGCTTCTCCAAGGCCACTCCAGGGTGTCGCAAAGGACACTCGCACGAGGGGCGGGGCTCCTGGCAGGGAGGCAGAGTGTCTCCTGACCCTCAGCCCCCAAAGTCGGGGATAAAGCCACACCGGAGATGCGCGTGAGGGGACCCTTTTTTATCCATCAGACCTGACAGGTCGCTAATTCGTACATCTGCTGTCTGCCAGCGCGGTTTGTCTCAGACGCCAGCAGTGAGCAGGTACTACGTAGTGTAGTGGCAGCTTAGCAAACAGATCCGTCTGGGATGAATTACGCCCAAGGGACCAGCCGTCACAGACAGCCCTGACTTGATGTCTGCGGGTGAACACGAATGTCTTCCACCAGGTTCTGTACTTGGTGTGTGCTCTCTGCCTTTACAGCAGCTGCTCTCTCTACGGACAGGAGTATGTGACTTATATACAAAGCGTGTCCCATTTAAAGTAGATTATTTAAATTCTGTGTTGTGCTCAGTGAGACCTGTCAGATTTTAAATAGATATGCTAAGTAAATAATTCTGGGTTGCTAAATAATATATAAGGTATATATATATTTGTAAATAATATATACACACACATACACGCATATACTTTTGACTGCTTAAAAATAAATCTCTTAATCCTCATATGGAATTACAGACTCCATATTATAATGTCACATCTTTACGTCAAGTTATCCTTGAAATACACCAAGTAGCTGACAGCTTCGTGGCTGACCTACCTTATACCCTCTTACTGACTTTTTCCCCAAACATCGTCTTTGCCAACTCAGCAGAGAATGTGCCAGTGGGGGTGTGGCTGCCCCGTCTCGTAGATGAGTTTTGGTTTGTGTGTTTTCCTTTGCTATGGGCATGTTGCAAAGTTGGACTGTCCATTCCCAACTCGAGGTTAAAAACAGAAAGAGGTTCGTTAGGGGCAGATAAAAAGCTGGATCACTTCTAGCTCCTTGAGTCAACAGGCTACATACAGTGCGCCTCCTCCATATTTTCATACCGCAGATTTCCAGAAGAGTAGGCATAAGCATTTATTCAAACACAAACAAAGTTAATTATCCTCCATTGCAGGTAAGGGTGGAGAACCAACTCCCCCAAATGTGCATATTTATGAAAACATCTTTATCTCCGCCATTTTCCTGTGAAAGCCTGAGAGATTTCCTACGGCAGGAATCGCCGACTGACACCCCGATATTTCTGCTGAGACAATGGAGCCCTCTCTTCTAACTTGGACCAATATTTACAAATTGTTTTCATGTTTGCTTTAGAGTCATTGGGTGATTAGTAGGGAGAGAAGCCAACTGCTACCATCTCCTTAGATTTACATAAAATTCGGGCCACTTTGCATTCTCCTAGGCATCGAATCCATCCATAATCGAAATCGATATTACTCCGATTAGCTGTATGACGCGGCCACACCGTGTGTCACAGCAATATTGATCTATTTTTCCTAAAACAACTGTGCTTCCTTCTCCCCGCTTCATTCGGCAGATACTGACTGAGCACCCACTCGTGAGCCATGTCTCGTTCTCGGTTACAGAGAGCGAGAAAGAAGAAATCCTTGTCGGGCTCACATTCTAACTGGGGGAAGCGGGGTTGTGTTATATACACGCGGACACGTTCCCGATCTGTCATGTTAGATGCTCGTCGCCGTGATGGAGAAACATAAGCGTCTGGGAAGGGGGTTTCCAGGTGGAGATAAAGCAGGTTCAGAGGCTGCGAAGTCACCGCGCGTAGTGCTTATGTTACAGAAAGGGCGTTTTTATAAAATAGAAGGGATCGTTGGAATAAGGTGGGAAGAAACGGGACAGAGCAAGCACAGAATTCGAGGAGCTTAGCTGTACAGGGCAGCAAAGCGAACGAGGTCGCTGGGAGTGGGAGAGCGTGGGGGTTGAGAAAATGTTCTCTTTTATGGAAAAATATGCATCGTGTTTCCATGTCGATGGGAGCGTGGGGAGGTTGCTGGTGCAGAAGGAAGGGAGGAGATGGGTCGACGTCCTCGATACAGCCTTGAAGTGTAAGCTTGGCCTGCGGCGGCTCCACCTGCTTGCAGCGGGGAAGGCAGCAAAGGTAGGAAGGTTTTGGCTGGTTGTTTCTCTTTTTCCAGTGAAATAGGAAGCAAAGTCAGCAACTGGGAGCAGAGACAGGAAAAGAGTTTCACAGGGAGAGGGTAATGAAAGTGTCCTTTGGAGTGGAGGGAGTGAATAAACTTAGGAAATGGATGAGTTTGGTATGAGAGCGAACACTGGGCATTTTTCTGTCACGTGCAACTGCGTAGGCGCAGGTGTCGAAGAGGCCGAGTGCGGTTTAACCAGCTCTCCAGATAAAACAAGAACAAGAGTGAGACAAAGGGCGTGAGGGCGACCGCAGGAGTGGGCGTGAGGACGGGCGCGAGGTCCAGCTGGGGAGACGCGGGGCGGGGAGAGAGGGATTGGGGAAGAGGGGTAGATCCACTGGGTACAGCTCCCGGTGGGTTCAGAGGACTTTTGGAGTTTGGGTACTGGAAGAGTTTATCTGGAAAAGTAGGTGTTGGCCAAAGAATGAGATGCTTGGCCCTGAGGTCACGGAGGCGGTGCGATGACAAGGTCAGGGAGGACCGGGAATGTGGGTGGCTGAGGGGATGGAGGACGAGAGGACCAGAGAGGTCGAGGTCGTGGACTTGGGGAGCCAGCGCGTGGGAAGCGTCGCCCATGTGGGCCCTGAGACCCTCCAGAATCGTCACCAGAGCTACGGTGTGTCAAGAACTGAAGCTTCGAGACGTGGGGCGGGGCCGGGGAAGAGGATGGAGGGGCAGAGGTGGGTGTGAGCCGACTGCTAGAGAAGACACAGTGGGGCCCGAGGCTTCGAAACTCGGAGCTAGAGGGGCGCAGGAGAAAGGAAAACCGTTCCACGTGGGGCACCGCAGAGCAACGCTCGGCGGCACAAAGTGGGTGCCGCCAAGACGTTTCAGGGGCCAAAGGGGAAGTAGTGTCTGTCCTCAGGCACGAGCCAGTTTCCGTGAAGGAAAAGCATGAAGATGACGTTGGGGGAGTAGACCGAAGTCACAGGCCAGTTCCCACCGACTGACCTCGTGCCCCTCAAGCTCAGGGGCGGGAGCTGGGGCAGCCGAAGGATGGGGTGGAGAAAAGGGGAGTATGGAGCTGAGCCTGGGGTGGGGGTCACACTGGACAAAAGCCAGGGACCTCGTTGGTGACTCATATAAACAGGACACATCAGTCACGGATATTTCTATCCTGATGATACGTGACAAAACCTAGTGGGGTCCTGACAAACGGTGGCCTGAGGCCCCACCACTGCGCCCACGAGGGTGGGTGGCCTCGCCAGGAGCCAATGAAACTCTCTGGCTCTCTCTGGATGCTTGAGACAACTTATATTACGTGCTGAAATGAAAATTTTATATTAATGGGTTTTAGAAGTGCCCTTGGACGGTCGTTTTAGTCACTCTCTTATTTGGCTTTTCCATTTGTAGAAAAGGAAGGAACAGCCATCTCCTAGAATTTCCGTGAATAGAATTGAAGCATAAGTTGCAAATATTCAGTGCTACCCTAAAATGCTTCTCATTTAAATACTATTTATACTCCATCAATAGACTGAACTCGTAGCAACGAAGTCCTTGGAGAAGAAACAAAGAAGCCAATTGGTTTTGACCTCCTTTCTGGAAGATTCCACAGCCATTGCAAGCTGAGATCCTTTTTGGCATCCTGACTTCAGAAACATCTGAAAAAGAAAAAAATTCATAAATCGCAATCCAGGACACAGTCCGTGGCTCTAATTATATTTGAGTCGTTTGATCTCTTTTCTCCTTACGTTTGCTTTCAGCTTCCTAATGATTGTTTTTCTCTGCAGTGAACCAGGTCCTGCCCTTTCTCTAGCCAGTTTACTTCATCAGTCCACGACAGATGTCCAGGGTGAAGAAAACATTATTAGCAACAGAACAGAGAGTACAAACAGCAGTGTGGCAGGCACCCCACAGAGGCTGTCACCAACACCCTTGGGGCTAACTACCTGCAAATGAAGAAAAATAAGACGAAGATTTCTGAACATCGAAGGAGGTGTTTTTTAAAAACAAATTCTAAATCCGTCTAGAAAATAGAGCATCTGCCACGTAGCACGAAGACGTGGATTAATCAGAAGTTTGCGTTCCTCTATAAAGTTATTTTAGATGTTTTCATCCAAAGAGGAAGTGCTGTAATGCGCTTTCTCGTTAGTTTCTGAAACGTGACTGAGATTTGTTTTTTTAGTAAAAGGAGGAAGAAAGGAAGGAAGGAAGTGGAGGAGGCGTGGCATGGGGGAGGGGCCGCCGTTAGACCCAGGCCCTGCGTTCAGAGGTGGGCTTGTGGGTTCCCCGCCCGCCCGTGTGGAGCCCAGAGGGGACCGGCGACTTCTCGGTGACTGGGTGGCCTCGCCTATTACTTTGCAGGGGGGATGGGGGATGAACGGCGTAGGTGGTGTTGGCACGGGCCCTTGGCACAGGGTCGCAATTCAGTGAACAGTGTCTGCTCCATGGGGTTAAGTGAGAGGACCCAGGTCACTCCCACGTGCTCGTGCTAAGGCTTAACAGAAGCCAGAATTTGAGGGGGAGGAGCAGGACAGGCTCTAGCCCGTAGGGGGGTTGCTTTTGTAGCTGTACCTGAGTGCCCCCAAAAGGATCATCTGGAAAATTCCACGACAGAAGGAAAACAGCCTCCTCCCTGCTCGCAGAGGGTTTGGAAGGCCGCGTGCAGCTCCTGGGCTGCTGACAAGCCGTGACTCATTCTGACAGAACGTGTGCCGGTTCCCTCGGGTTTCGGCTTTACCCGGTTCCCCTGTACTCGTTTCTTGCAGTTTAAAAATCGAGGTTCCTCCTTGCTTTCTTTTCTCAAAGCGTGCGAATTAAACATCACGATGACGCTGCTGGTGTCTCCCGCATAGGACAGGCCTTCTGAAAGTTCTCCCGGTTGGGGTACCAAGGCCCAGCTCCTTCCCAGCCCGATCCCTCCCTTGGTGATTGGCCGTATGTACCATGCAGCCGGTGGCCAGGAGGAAAGGCGAGGCTGGCCAAACCATCTGGGGCTCGAACCTGTGAGCTTTGCTTCATTACAGAACAATATTCTGCCCAACCCAACTCTTTCTAATGACCTACAGACCACCAAACAACGACCTCTATTCGATTATACTTTCCTAATGACTCATTATTCAGATTCTTAAAATACCAGTTTATTGAAACTTCTATGAATTTTATACTTTAAAATGGTTCTTTCCTGTTCTTAAGAGAATCTATGAGCATACACATAAAGACTGAATAATTTGCTCCCCAAATAAATAAAACATAAACCATAGCAATGAGTTCTAGATTTTACCCAAATAGGTCACACTAACAGAATGCATTTTTACTGATGAAATAGAGGAATTTTTTTCCCCCTTAGGTGCAGAGTAGTATGACTCATTAATATTAACATTTATGTTTTCAAAACTTTTTGCAGATATTATGTTGTCAACTCTAAATTATCTTAGTTATTTGTCTATGGATAATCCAGATACGGTGAATGTCTGGACACTTGCCAACTGACATAGCTTAAACAGCGTAAGTTGGCAGGTACATGCACAAGCGCACACACACTCACTGTGATCCAGAGACAAACAATGCATAAGTGATTTTTTAGAGAATTTGTTGCTTTGGGGCTCACCCGAGAGTGGATTCCATACTGACCCAGTCCACATTACAAATAATTCACATTCCTCCAAGTTAGTTCTGTTTATAAAATGCTATCCAATATTGATAAGGAAAAAAGCCTTTGGAAATAACAGGGGTATCAACGGGTCAGGGTTGGTTTCTTTGCGCCCCTCGGAGTTCATTAATCACCACGATCGGACACATGCTACACTCGAATGAATACGTTCTGTTCTACATAGTGCTAATTTGTCACAACTCTCCAATAAATATATAATAGAATTCTTTCGTGCCCTCTCAACTTTGCGCCTAAGTGGTTGAAAGGAATCTCTGGACGTGTGGGTCATATCTTGAAGAGAACTAAATAAGGGCCTCTGCTGACGGTCCTTATTTAGACTACCTGTCTGAATTACTTCCCGGCGGTGTTAAATGTCCTGTGACTTCTAGCACATTTTAGCTCTCCGTCCAATGACTTTCTCATAAATTTGACAATGTTAAAAAAAAAAAAAAAGTAATGTATTCAGTAGGCATAGGTTTTATTTCAGATGTTCTGTCTCCTTTTTAATCATCAAAAATTATCAGGCATATAAGTTAAAATATTTGTCTTCCTTTAGAAAGGGAATTATATGTTCAGATGCTCCTGAATGTATCATAAATAGAATGAATATAACAAGGCCCTTTCTTATAAATTCTTTAGCTAATGAACGGAAGGAGGAACGTGGACTTGCATGCTCCATCAGTATTTGAGACCACCACAGATGCAGTCAGCAAGAATTTCTGAAGTGTGATGGGACTTTGTCCATTAGGTCAACGTCTTCCTAGATAAAAAGCTATTGTCATAGTAGTAAAATTGCTTAGCTAAATTAAATAGGTAAACAATCTATCACCAAATCAGCAGATAGCCAATTACTTAAGAGCAATTTATTTAAAATAGAACAACAGTTTATGTAGGTAAAACCATCCTACATCACTCTGTTATCAACCACCAATGCCACCGATTATTTTATTAGAATTCTTTAATTAATTGACACTTAATGGAGTAAGATTTCATTAATCCATTCTGCAACTATTTATTGGGTACCAACTGTGGACGAGGCGCGCTGAATTCGGGAGCTATGAGTACAGGGAAGGGGAGCGGGCCCCGCAGAGGGCGCACAGTGAGATCTGGGGCCGCCCCCTCTTCAGCTTCGTGAACGCATCCAGCACAAACAGCCGTCTCCTCCTCTGTCACTTAACGCGGCTCCCTGGTCCGTTCTTGGCATATCGAGTTGTACTCCAGGCAAGATTTAAGAAATAAGACCTCTGAGAAGTTCACAAAATGACCACTCATGTGAAATCTCTGTTATATACACTGTCTCCTCATGCACCACTTGATAAGATATCTTCATTTTTATCCCTGGATAATTGCCTAGCTCATGACAGTTTTCCGAGAGCCTTTTCCTATAAATTCACATATCTCGTTTGTTTATCATAGGCCATCACAGACCAAGTATGTCCTGCTAAATATATTCCATCGATAAGAACTCTTTTCTAGTAAATGCTGTTGTATGAAGGTACCGTTAGCATGTTTACAAGGGGATGGGACCAAGTTATCTTTCTTTCTTTCCTGGGGCCAGAAAAATAAGAAAATGGGTAGTAGGCCTGATGCTCACCCATCCCCTCCCAGCTCTGCATGCACGTGTGACTTCAAACCCACACCTTTCACCTAAACTCCAAACCCATGTATCCCACTAGCTACTCAGCATTTCGACTTAGCTGTGTAACAACGTCATCAAACTGCATGTGAGCACCATAAAAATAATGATTTTTTCCTCCAACTTCCTAAATAAACACACACAACTTTCTCCTTGCAAATCTTTCCAACTCAATAATATTCTCTCTCTCTCCCCCCATCTCCTCCCCTCTACCTCTCCCCATTTTCTCAAGGAAAAACATTACACTCGTGCTTGACAAGTTTTTTTTCATACCACATATGCAATAAGCCTAAAAATGTTGTCATTTCTACCTTAAAAATACATCCTGAACTCAGACACCGGCTTCCTGGTTCAAGACACTGCCATCTCTCAGGCAGATTGCTGAAATGACGTTCTACCTACCTCTCTGCTTCCTGCTTTTTTCCTCATCCCCAAGAGCCTATTCTGAACATATCAGCCAGATGGCTGTCTTAAAAAGATTAGTCAAAGTGTGTCACTCCACAGCTCAAATGTCTCCTGTGGTCCCCATATCTGTCAGAATAACAGCCAGAGCTCTTAAAATGGCCTTCGGCGGCCTCCGCATCCTAGGTACCCACTAACTCTCTGGCTTCGTTTTCTATTACTTCCCCACCCGCTGCTCTGCCTCTGCTGCACAAGCCTCTTTGATGCACCTTAAATGCACCCAGCGGGTTTTGGCCTCTGGACCTTTCTAGTGCTATCTCTCTGGCTGGGAAAGCTTATCCCTCCAGGTGGCCACATGCTTGCTTTCCTAATCTCCTTCAGATGTTCGCTTAAATGTACCTTCTTTATAATGCATCCCCTATTCCCTAATCACCTATTTGAAATCGTAATCCCCATCTTCCCTGGAATCTGTCTCGGCTGTTTTTTCTTTCTCCCTCCCACACATCACCATCTGAAACACTATACAGTTACCTTTCCGTATTTATTGTTACAGTCTCATGGATGGGAGCGGAGATCTCTGTTGTGTTCACTGCTGTATCCTCAGCACCTATAAGTACTGTTGTGGCACGGAGTGGCTTTCAATAAATGATGCATCAATTAACTAATAGCGGCGCTAATCCATTCGACTTGATCCCCAGTTAGAGGAGAATACGATCGAATAATGCAGAAGCAGTAACTCAGGGCTGCAACCAGGAAGACCTCGAAAACGGTAGCATGGAGTCTGGGTTTTATTCTGCAGGCTGGGGAAACCATTAAAGGGAATTGAGCCAAACAGTGGCAGCAAAGAACAAAAGTCAGAGACAAAAGAAATCGTGCCTTAAGAAGAAGAATGAGAGTGAAAGGCAATTTTTCCTTTTTAGCATTAGTCTCTTCTTCATCAAGCCGCATATGCTCAGCGATATCGTGTGGGCTGCTAACAGTTACTGCGGGGTGGAATATTGGGACCTATCTTCAAAATGGTTTTAAAAACCTACAGGCTCCTGAAGAAAAGCATGAAAATATCCTACTTGATGAGATTGTTAATGAGTCATGATGAGTGTCTATAACTTGAAATATTGGTACGTTCCCTAAAAGCTGTATGAATTAAGACTATTAAATAAAGTTGGTGGAAGAAGTATTTAAAAAAAAAAAAAAAAACTTTGGAAAAATCTATTTGGTGTGGCGGGGGGGGGCGGCGGACAGATTTGTAGAAATACAAAGGATAAATAACTCGCTTGTCTGTCTCGCCCGTGGAATTGGGAGACTTCCTGGGTGCTAGACCGGAACTCATCCACCCGCCCTCATTTTTTCACTAAAACGGATGAACAAGACAACCCACACTCCACCAACTGTGGACGTTTGGGCTGCACATCTTAGCAGATATGTTACCATTTTAGGCGAGGCAACCCTTGGTCGACCTCATAGATCGCAAGGACCTTGGCAGTTTATAATCCCTTATTTTTTTTTTTTTTTTTTATGCCTATGGCACCCGGTCTTCCTAGGTGGTCTCCCATCCAAGGACTAAGCAGGCCCGCCCCTGCTGAGCTTCCGAGCCCAGCCGGGATGGGGCGCGTTCAGGGCGGCGCGGCCGCAGACTCGACGTTACCATTTTAAAAGCTCGCTTTCCCTTTCACAGTACAACCGGTACCAGCAGTACGGCGCCGAGGAGTGCGTGCTGCAGATGGGGGGCGTGCTGTGCCCCCGGCCTGGCTGCGGGGCCGGGCTGCTGCCCGAGCCCCAACAGAGGAAGGTCACTTGCGAAGGGGGCGACGGCCTGGGCTGCGGGGTGAGTACCACGGCACCGCTGGGTGTCGATTCTGTACGTGTGCGTGTTTGCTTCGGCAAATTGGCTAGGATTATACGCGTGTTTTATTTTCGTTTCCCGTTTGGTCTCAGACATCTTTGAACTCATGTATAAGAAAATTGATTTAAAAATTTTTATTTAAGATTGTAGGTGTGACAGACAGACAGACAGATTTCTGTGCCTTCACTGCGTGTCTCAGTGTTTATGCTAAGACACTAGGAATTACTAGGCCAGCCTTCTAGACTTTTCTTCCAGCGTTCAGCTGTTCAGAGGAGAAACATCTGATTTCTTTAGAGTTGGCTCTGAGTGGACAGCAGTGAAAGAGAAAGGGAAGTCCCCATCAGTGATGTCTTAGCAATGCTGTCTGCCTAAGTATTTCGAGAAGTGAAACGAAGATTAATGTGGAAAACTTGAAATGTTGCTGTGTCGTAAAAATCATGTTCAATAGAGATGAGCAAAACTAATGGCGCCTCTTAGGGAAGCAGAAGAAGAAACACGGAAAATGTTTGTTCGGAGAGGTCAGCCACTGTGACCTGGATGGCTTCTTGAATGAATCTATGGCCGCAAGCTGACGGCGAAATGGTGAGGGACGCACAACTCAAAGGCAGAAAGGCTTGCCGAGTGATAGATTGAAATGACAAATGGATAATAATCCTGATATTAAATTTCATGCAGGCCAGAAAAGGAAGAAAGTGCACGTGCTTATAAAACGCTATCGAATGTTGATGGGAAAACATGTCTTTGATGCGGGGCTTTGCGAAAGGTGTGCTGATGGCAGAGGCATGTCACCTGGGCCTAGTGTTTGTGAGCACGGCGAGTCGCCTGTGCATCAGTGAGCATCCGTCACCCTTTGTGAAGCTTTCTATCTGTCGTGTGGTGGGCTCAGCAAGCCTGAGCAGAGTGACAAACTAGAGGGGGTGGGAGTTGAAAAATAATGAGGTGGTATGATGCCTAAGTGGAAGGAAATACCCCTAGATTCATCACCATGACTGGCTTAGAATGGACACTCAAGGCATGTTTGCTCGCCTTAGAAATCATGGGAATCAAGCTACACTTTCTGGCTGTCCTCATCCTCATTTACAGCATAACCTGCGTCGTCAAGTGTGGCCTGCACAGGCCGCCGCATGCCGGGCCCGGAATGTTGGTGAACGTTCTCTTTCGAAATGAGCTTCAGTGGTTTTTAACGGGTGGCTGAATTATACGCTTCTGCCTGCTGATTGCTCACTGTGGTTGCGTTCTCCAAAGCTGCATTTTAAGATCTTTATTTATGAGGTGGGGAGTTTTCATTGGCCAATCTTCTGCATTCGGTTGTTCACCTTATTTTAATGAACTCTGAAGGTTTTATATAATTTTAAAATTATGAACACCTTTGTCTTTCTTTCTTTACACAATGTGATACATATATTTAAACTTCAAATCGTGGAAAATTACGTTGGAAACGATTGAGTTGCTAATATCTTTGAGTTAAGAGAGTTTGGGGCAAACTTTACCTAAAGGAAGATAGCGATCTTTAGGCTGGTGCTTTGTCCTTTGGAAAGTCTAGGTAATGAGTTTTATTACATTTTGAGTTGTTCTCTTTTGTTGTTTTTAGAGGTGCGCCTGCCAGTTTGCACATTAGATATCTATTGCCACATAACAAGTAACCCCAAATTTAACCATTTAATAAACGTGTATTATCTCACAGAGTTTCCAAAGATCAGAAGTGACTTATCTAGGAGTTTCTAGCTCAGGGGGTTGCAGTCGAACTGGGTTTATGGGGAAGGGGAAATTTTCTCTTTTCCCTCTGAATTCTTCTGGCTGGTCTGATAATCAAATTGACACGAGGCAGGTTAACAGGAGGAAATAGCCAATTTAACCATTTAATAAACGTGTATTATCTCACAGAGTTTCCAAAGATCAGAAGTGACTTATCTAGGAGTTTCTAGCTCAGGGGGTTGCAGTCGAACTGGGTTTATGGGGAAGGGGAAATTTTCTCTTTTCCCTCTGAATTCTTCTGGCTGGTCTAATAATCAAATTGACACGAGACAGGTTAACAGGAGGAAATAGCCAGATTCACTTGTGTATGTGTATACAAGGGTTCCGTAAGAATATGGCACGCTGAGACCACGCAGGCAGTGGAGGCTTATTTGCCACCTTGAACTAAGGAGCAAGAGGGAAGTAGTGGTTTGGGACTTCGAAGGGGTCGGAGGACGTAATTCGCGTGGAGATGGTAAATGTGATTTGCTGGGCCACCTTTAACAATGGGACACAGAGAGGACTTTCATCCGATGGACCGGGCTAGGTTCCTGCCCATCACACCTAGTTCATATTAAATTATTTTTACCTATGATGATAGCTCCCTTCCTGGAGCAGGTCTTCTATCTAAGTTCAGCAGTTAGGGGGAAGGTCAAAGGTTCTTTCTGAGTCTTTTGTTCCTTAAAAATAGCCAGCTTAAAATAACCAGTGTCCCAAAGAGTCATATCTGGAGGTGGCAAAGTCGGCTGCCCTTCAGGATGCAGTTATCTGAAGGCCCGACCAGGGCTCTGAGATGCCAAGATGACTTCCAGGATGGCTCTTTCATAAGGCTATTGGCCAAAAAGACCTCCCTTTCTCCTGGCTCTTGGCAGGAGGCCACAGTTCCTCACCATGTGGTCCTTGCTTAGGTTATCTGTCCCCAGAATGGCAGCTAACTTCCCCGGAGCAAGTGATCCGAGAGAAAGAACAGAGAAGGCCACGGTGCCTGGTGTGACCTCAAGTCCAAAGTCGCACACCATCACTTCTGCCATATTCTTCATTAGAACTGAGGTCCTGCATCCAACTCACCCTCAGACAGAGGGGAAGTCGGCTCCATCTTAAAGGAAAGAGTATCAAAGAAATCATGGACGTATTTTCAACCGGCACAGTTTGCAATTTGAAGAGGCTAAAGAAGGAAAAAGAATGATTGTCTATAGCGTGCCGCTAACGCGATGCTTTCCTCCTTTCTGCCTTTGCTGCCCCTGCTCCATATTTTTTTAACGTCTATTCCCATTGCTTTGACTTCTCCACAGAGATAAATTGACCTCATCATCCTCCTTTTTCTTTAAATCCTCAACTTTCCCCAAGGATATTAACCCAACTTATATGCCTTTGGGGATTCTCTCGTGGTTAAAAAGGAGATTGGGCTGAATGTCTTGAGTTCAAATCCCGGCTCCACCAGATACTATTGGTCTTAAACTTTCTGTGCCTCAGTTTCCTGATCTCTAAAATAGGGTACAAGACTGTGATGAATATGAAATGAGACAGGAGATATAAAATGCTTACAACAGTGCTGCATTAAGCGCATGTTTATTTAATATCTAATCAAAAGCTTAATATTTAGCAAAAGCTCGCCTTGAAGACCCAGTATTCAAAGACAGTTACTAACCGGACGGACACTTGTTTGATCCCCTCTTCCAAATGCTCTAGACCGTAGCCCTGGATCAGGCCAGATCTCAGCAGGAGTTAGGCACCCAGGCCTCACTATTTTAACCCTTCAAATCGCTTTTTCTACACGGCACTTTGGCATAACATCGCTTGTGTATATTGCGGTCATCGTGCAGGACGCTTGAACATGTGGTTCGGGACAGCACGCGTGCTCGTCCTGGGGAGAGCTGTCCTTGGGGATTCTGTGAATCGCGCAGCTGGTAAGGTTCCCTCTGCGAGCTGACCGCTGGAAGGCCGAGAGCTCTGTGTACCGCGCACACGGCCCATTAGTGGATTTTGAAGCTCATTTCCTCGTTTCTCTTTTTTCCCTCTTTCTCGACCCCTCTTCCTGGCGTGCACTGTTTTGCTGTGATTTGTACATCCTTGTAAGCTGCCCGCCTTCTCTGCGTTTACGGGGCGGTAATGGGAAGCCATTGGTGGGAGGCACCGCGGCTAGTTAGCGTTGCTTCGGTGGCAGAATGGGCCCCGTAAGTGGAAGCCAGAGGATGCTGAATCTCTGCTTGGGATTTGCTTAGGATTTGCTCCGTGGCACCCACCCACAAACGGGCTGCCTCGGAGAGCGGCGGGCACCTCATCCTGCACAGTGCCCAGGGAAAGTCGCCGGGAGCCAGGCTCTCGAGAATCACAGAGTCCTGGACGTGGACGACGCCCTCTCTCTCGTCACGTTCGGTCGTTCTCAGGCTGTTGTTGACAGGTTTACTGTAAGGTACATGCAAATCCACCTACATTTTGATTTTTCCTCAACTATCAGGAGATCCAAAAAGTACAACTCTCATTACGTGGGTGTCCAAGAAATGCTTGATGTGAAAAAAATATATCTCATGCATAAAAAGGTCGAGAACCGAATTCCCTACCATTCACGGAATTTAAATATGAAGACTGAGAAGCCACTGTGAGATGCCGACGGACAGCCATTTTCAGAGCCGAGGCACGCCCAGGTGTTGAGCTTCGGGCTCGTACGATTCTAACCCTCTCATCAGTCAGCCCCAGTCCACACCTGGACGGTCCCCCGTACGCCCACGACCACTGTGGTGTGTGCTTTCCATCTGCATCTGGAGAAACAGGCTTCGGCATTTTGATTGTCTTTAGCTTGTTTAAAATAGATGTGAAGGTTAGTATTTATGAGTCTCTCGTTCATGTCTTTGTATTCTTGTCCTCAGTTTTTACATTCTTATCTTCATTAAATTTATGTATCGGGAGCTCAACATGCACTGAATGAATGAATGAAGCAAGCAATCAATATTAACGTAGAAGTAATATGAATACACTATCACTTTCATTTTCAAAGTTTCATTTTAATTTATTCCAATATTAGAATTGCTTTCCTTGCTTCAATAAGAACCTCTTCCAAAAATATTTAAACACCCCCATATACTTAGACAATATACAGTGTTTTACTTGAATGCATACTACATAATTCAGAATACCAAACTTTACTAAGTTCAGAGAGCCACTTACGAACCTGAAAACACTAGCAGTTAGCATTTATACACCCTATCAAAGGCTACATGGCTGAATAATGAATTTCGTTCATTCCGATA